GGTGTGCGCTCCCCAGAAACTAAAACAACATCACCTTGTTTCAGTTCCGCGGCTTCTCTTGTCCATGTTGTTCTTTTCTGCAGACTTGGAAGATATTCTTTTATACATCGTCTCCAGAACACGCCAGCGAGGTAGTGCACTTGTTTCCATCCAGCGTGGTACCGTGCCACCAATTCGTCACCGCTAGGCAACACTGGACAGTTTCTCATCAACAATAAGCTATTCGGGGTAAACGGTTCCAAGTTGTTGCTGTCTGATGTTAGCGAGACAAGCGGTCTATTATTCAATATACGTTCAGCCTGCACGAAGAGGGTGCCGAGCTGTTCGTCAGTTAGGGACTGCTCCTTACAGAGAGCAAGAAGAATCCGTCGTAGAGACCTGCTCATTCGTTCCCAGATGCCTCCCGGATGGCTGGCAGCGGGTGGGTTAAAATGCCACTGTATCTCTAGAGTTAGCAGTTGGTCCGACACTCTCTTTTGGTCCCAATTGTGTAAGTCCTTTCGGAGTTCTGCTACCGCTCCAACAAAATTGGTTCCGTTGTCACTGTAGATGTCAGTGGGACGTCCGCGTCTACTCACAAATCTCATCAGACACTGAACAAAAGAATTCGTGGTCAGGCTGGCGGCTATCTCAAGATGAACGGCTCTCGTCTGTAAGCAGCTTAACACACAACCATAGCGTTTCTCCGAAGATCGTCCGCGTTTGACCATCAACGGACCAAAATAGTCCACCCCAACGCACTTGAAAGGATGCTAACCGACTTCTGTTCTATTTAAGGGAAGCGGGGACATCATCTGCCCCTGAAGTTGTCGAAATTTACGTCTGCAAAGTAAACATCTACCGATGACACGTTTGACATAAGCGGTTCCTTTTGGAATCCGGAACTTTTGACGGATTGCACCTAGAATTTGGGCTGTCCCACAATGGCCTTCCAATTCATGAAAGAAATGTATGATTAATTACGTCACGGGATGATTGTATGGGAGGATTGACGGGTGTTTTAACGATTCACAAAAATTTGAGTAGTTCAGGCAACCACCAACGCACATTACTCCTTCAATCAAAACCGGACATAACTTTCTCAGGCCAATATTTCTCACAGACTTTCTTTTCTGGCAATCTGCTGGTGTAGACTGCAGAATATCCAATTCTGCTGAAAAGTGTTTCCTTTGTATAAGCTTTATCAAGTTAATGCTAGCTTGGCGCATTTCCGATACTCGGATAGGACCCAACATCAGCGTCTCCTTAGGAGCCTTGCCAGTGGTGACTCTGACGTACTGCTTGAAACGCAGGAGCCAGACCACAGCCCTTTGTAGCCTTGTCCAACCTGAAAAACGCAGAACTAATTCTTCTAAACCATCACATTGATTTAATACATGAACTTGGGCTGTTGTCCTCTTGAATTCCAAGTCTTCAGGTTGTCCTACGGGAGGTTGTACAAACCATTCGCCTTCAGATTGAACTAAAAATTCCAGGCCGTCTAACCATCTACGTACCAGCGTAAAGTTGCACGTACCTCGAGAAGCAATGTCTGCTGGGTTGACGTCCGAACTCACGTATCTCCACTGAGAGGTCGCAGACAGATCATGTTTAACCGTCAGTCGGTTGGCCACAAATGTGCAGAACCTGGTTAATTCATTGTGTATATAATAAAGGACTATAATAGAATCGGTCCAGAACGTTATTGTTTGGAAGTACCTATCGGTGCTTGAGCGGATGAGATCAGCCACGCGCACAGCCAGAGTAGCAGCTGCCAACTCTAAACGTGTTATAGAGACGGCTTTGAGGGGGGCAACACGGGTTTTCGAATAAACGAGTGAACAATGTAAATTTCCTGTGCCGTTAATAAAGCGAGAATATGATACTGCACTGTATGCTACTTCCGAGGCATCGCAAAACACGTGCAGTTCGACAGGCATCGGATCGCTGATATCTTTGGGCTTTAGACATCGGCCCAGCTGAAAAGTCTTCAGGCTCCGTAAATTAGAGATCCAGTTTTCCCAACGAGAGCTCTCGATGCCAGATAGTTTTTCATCCCGATTCAGTCCGTTTTTGCATAAGGATTGCAGTAAACACTTCCCTGGTATCAGCCAAGGCGAAACGAAGCCCAGAGGGTCATAAAGTGAGGACAAACAGGACAAAATACCCCTACGAGTGGACGGTTTTGCGGGCATATAGAAACTTATCATCAGAATATCGGAATGCGTATCACACCGCAACCCCAAAGTTCGTTCAGTAGGTAGGGGGTTGACGGCAATATCTCGCATACCAGAAGAACGTTCAGTCGCATTAACGACCGAGAGTATACGCCGGTCATTAGAAGCCCAGTTCCGCATACGAAAGCCGCCTTGAGAGAGGAGTTTACAAATTTCGTCTACAAAACGTTTGGCTGAATCGACATCACATAACCAGACTACAAATCATCAACGTATAAACTCTGGTGAATCGCTCTGCAAGTTGATGAAGAGTAAGATGAACCAAAATCGCCAGCAGTTTTTTGCAACGCAAAGGTGGCACA